CAAGTTCGGATGTGTTGATCTTGTAAGTTACAGATTTGAATAACTATCTTATATGTGACTGAACACATCTTGTTAATCTTTGGTCTTATACAACGATGGAACATATTCTATTCACCCTCTCAGGTCAAAGTGTGCATGTCACAACTTTTTAGTTACATTCAAAATTTAATTAAACTACTTTATAATGTCATGAATAAACTTGGCAGCAAAATGTAGTTAATAAAGCAAAATTTAATTATACAAGTTTTTAATTTCATAAGTAAATATTTTACTCAATATCCTCTAATATGAGAATTGTCTCATTTGTTTGCTAAATCTCCTCTCTTCTTTTAATTTATTTACCACCCCTCCCAGAAGTACAGAATTTAACATAAATTACTCATTTTAATATAGTTATTACTCAGGCAGAGCATAATTTTTATAGCCTTCAATCTTATTTATTTATGGAGCTATAAACTAGAAAATCAGACCCACTTGCCACACCCACCTATAATATCCTCTTTTTCACAATAGTTCTCTAACGTTTTATACTAAATTACTTATAACCAATAGAAAGACAAAGTTTTAATCTATCAAATGATGTATTATATTGTGTTGCTTTTTGTACAGAGAATTGTCTATTTCGTTTTCAGTTCATAGTTTATTCCCACAGGAAACACATCACAGAGTTTAACTAAATTTCTAACGGCTCTTGTCACATAGTGAGAAAGACATAAAAATTATGACACTTACACGAGATTATCTGCAATTTATGTGTTATTATTCTGTGTTCTTAGTTAAATTTTTTAATTAAATAAAACAATTATTGTAGTAGTACCATTAGTGTAACAAATTAGGGTTAAGTTTTTCACAATGTACACTTGTGAGCAAGTTTCAAAGTAGCTAGTGCGTTATGTAAATTGATAGGGTAATGTGAGCTACAAGTTCATTCATTATTAGTTAGACACAGTTCAAAGGGCAATAAAATTTAAGTCGAAAGAGATGTATACTTTTTAATGAACTTTAAGCTACTTAGGACAAACAAATATAATTTTATGTTACAGCTTGAAGTCATTCTAGAAAGGAAAAAAGGGTAATTTATATTTAAATTTTTTTATTGTGGTTACAAGGTTGGTCAATTAGACCGACCCTGTATAGAGTTAGGGTAGAGAAAATAACAGTTAAAGTACAAAGTTTTACAAAAAAAAAAAACGTTTGCAATTTATTTAGGAGGTTTTAGAGATTATGCAAATTAAATTTGACTATTTTCAGATGAAGTAATTTTTAATTTTAACATGAAAATCACATTGCAGTAGAAGCAGTCAACATTTTGACTCCATATATTCACATCGAAATTTTTAGTAAAAATGCTTCATTAAATATCCTGATTTTTTGTCTACAAACGACTTATAATATTTACTGAAAACTTGCAAAATTTCACAATGATACACAAATCATGTTAGAAGTTATAGTGTGGAAACTATAAAGGCCAATTTAGTGTCACAAACTCAGCTGATTTTACTGAACCTGTAGCATGAGAGTTAATCTCTGGTCTCAACCTATTTATCATAAAAGGTTTTTTATACAATGACCGACTTATGACTGAATACATCTGATTAATCTTTGGTCTTGACCTACTTATCAAAAAAGTTTTTTATACAATGACAGACTTATGACTGAACACATCTGATTAATCTTTAGTCTTGACCTACTTATCAAAAAAGTTTGTGATGTGAAAATTGTTGGCTCTGGTTAAAATCTTATGATGGACTGAACTACAAGTGATCAAGATGCAACAATTTAGAGAACTTAATATCTCAATTACTGGAAAAAACAACACTTCATATGAAATGAAACTTAATGGTAAGAAGACTGAAGCTATACCTGAAATACTTTCCTTGCTAACAGTTCAGGGTTTTGTCCACCACCCCAAGGAGTTAGAGTGACAAAGAGAAGGCGAAAATGTTCAAAATCAATACGGTAATGTTCAAAGAATGGTAAAGTAGGGTCATATTTATCTTGGGCTACTCCTGATGTTCGTCCCCAACTCTGCTGAGTTAACTGATCTTCCTAATATAATATGAACACATTTGTTTACTCCACATCTCACATGACTTGCTTCAGAATCTAGATCTCTACATTCAATACACTTGAAGTAAAATTAAGTATCATTCAATAAGTTTTCAAGTAAATGAGAAATATCTTACAGGTCACAATTTTCTTTATTACAGCTGTAAACAGAAATAGTAGTAAAGAGAAACTGAAAATACAACAGAATGTTTAATCTTCAAAGTTCAATCGTCCGAGTTGAAACCAGGTATATACCGTATTCGTCTGATTATAAGGCGATCCTCGTTTTCAGAAACCATTGGAAAGAAAAAAGAATTGGGTGTCATAATGTCCTTTTTTAGATCCACAAAATCAATACTATAATTAAACAGCCTGCAGGTGGATTAGCTGCAAGTATTAGCGATGACTTTGAGCAAACATCTGGCGCACGTTTGGACGGATGCTATCTGGACATTCAGGAATGAGACAGGCTAGAGTAGGTGGAACGGCCTGTGGTCAGCCATGATTATAAGGCGACTATGAATTTTACAGCCTAATTATTAATCAAAAAACATTGCATTATAATCAGACCAGCACAGTATATCATATTTACTTTTAGCACATATTAAAAAATTCAAGACTCAAACCTTTCATCTGTTTTCTGTTATTTTAACAGCCTCGTAATGAATTGAAACAACATATTACTGAACCTCTTACAGATTAGGAAGTTCAGTGAACTTACAATTCTGATTATTGGAAACTTTTTAACTAATACCAAATAAAATATTGTTAACGTAGTTTCAACAACAAATCAGGAAGTGTTTAAGGATTCCTCTAATAAAAACTAAAGATTTACAGGGCTTTCAGACAACTAGGAAGGTTTGAACAAACAGCTTTAACACACAAACAAACTATGCAAACAATAATGGCTTTTTCCATAGCTTAAATAGTTTTCTCTAACCCTACATATATAGTAACTGCCACATCAAAAACAACTTAATACAAATACATTTTATCTGTAAGCATGCCTTCTCGGTGTAATTATCTCACAGTTTATACGATTTTAAAAGCACACAACAGATACTAATAGCCACAGCAGGTTCTTCAATGAATGAAAATAATTGTAATTATAATTCTTAGTGAACAGTTAGTTCTACCAACAGCCAGGATTAAATGTGCACCTTCACCACGGAGAAGAGGTCCTGCAGTTCCTTCTGGGACAAACAAGTACTAATAAATGGATCACTTTGAACACTTCTAATCACATTCTTCATTGTTGTGTCTTCCAAATTCTGTAAAAAGAAATGCACATCAACAAAAAATTGGAAGTTTTTAAACTTTCTACAAGAGTCAAGTTGAATAAGATTTTCACAGTTTTTGTTAAATTGCCAATACACTAATTAATGATGTATATATAATTATATATTTATAAGGTTTCTAATAAAGCAACAAAGAATGAAAACATTCAATGTCCTGTGAAATTCTTTTAATGAAGTTTTATGTCACTACATCATCCACACTAGAAACGTATGCTACGTCATCCAGACTAGAAACGTATACTACATCATCCACACTAAAAAACATATGCTACATCACCCAGACTAGAAACGTATACTACATCATCCAGACTAGAAACGTATGCTACGTCATCCAGACTAGAAACATATGCTACGTCATCCAGACTAGAAACATATACTACGTCATCCAAACTAGAAACATATGCTACGTCATCCAAACTAGAAACATATGCTACGTCATCCAAACTAGAAACATATGCTACGTCATCCAAACTAGATACGTATACTAAATCATCCAAACCAGAAACGTATACTAAATCATCCAAACCAGAAACGTATACTAAATCATCCAAACCAGAAACATATACTACATCATCCAAACTAAAAACATGTGATACATCATCCAAAACTAGCAACATATACATAATCTAAACTAAAAATACATGCTACATCATTCAAACTAAAAATACACACTACATCATTCAAACTAGAAATATACTACATCATCCAAACTAGAAACATCTACTCACCTGTACCACTTTTAAGCGATGTTTCAGCCTCAGTCTTTCTATCATTGATGATGTTAAAAATCCATACTTGGCATATGAACTGTAGATCACGTCATTAACATCAATAACATCCTGAAAATTAGTTTTTCTTATTACTTGGATGCAGAAATGAAATTTAAAAGAGAATGTATAATAAGCAGTAGTCTGTCCTGTAAGTTAATAAATGTAATAGCATGTACATTAAAGTTCAACACTACTGTTTTTGAAATTATTTGATAAGTTCTTTCTTATTTAATTTACTGAATTCCAGTTTTATATATCTATGTGATATTCTTTATCTTGGGTTTTTACCTGTATAAAGAGATTTTTTCCCAATTCTCTTAAACTCTCACATAGTTTAAAATTTGTAAAACTTCCAGAAAACATTTTTTTTTGGGGGGGACAGGGAAACAAATCAACTATTTTGATTAAAATAAGAACCAGACATCATCCACATCAAACGTCAAAACACAAATTATCCATAATATTTCATCACTTAAATGTCTTCACTACCTCCAATCCCATTAAGAACACTCCAAGCCTTTATCTAGTTATGTTTAGACCCCAACTTTGATACACAACGTGAACTTAAGATACCCATGTTTATATCTGTTTCTACACTCACTTGTTTGTTCTTCTGTCCTTTCCAACACAGCGGGGCACTATGCATCATGTGTGGTAAAGTAGCGTCAAAGTTCGTCACACTCTCCAGGTACTTGCTGAGCACAGTCATGGCCTCTCCGTCATCCTTGCACAGCATCAAGGCGTCTTTGTTGGCTTCTAACACGGCCAGTGCAACTTGGAATACCACCTTAAAATAGACATGATATTCTTACAAACCTGTACTACGTCTAAACAATGTTTCAGCCGCACGGGATGTGGAAAATCTCTTAACAACAAACAGAATAAAAAT